AAGTAGGTCAAGCTGGTTTTCTTCTGTGCATACAGGTTTCGTACGCTCCATATTATGTTTATATTCTAGTGAGCCGGTCTGTTTGAAATTCTTTAAAATTCTACTTACACTTGAATAGCAAATTTGTTTGTCTGGATGCCGCTCGTTGAAAATATTTGCAGCTTCGCGCATTGTTTTATAACCATCACCACAGATTAAAACTAATTCTGCCTTTTCAGTTAACGTTAATAATACTGGGCGAGGCATTTTTAATTAGGGACAAATATGAAAACGTTTTACAGGCAAGTTTCAAGAAGCCACACTATCAAACTACAGTATGGTTTTAGGGCGTATGTGTTTTTTGTTCATGGCTATCCGCGATAGATTTTGGATTGTTTTTTAATATCTGTTCTAGTTGAGGCATTGTTGTCAGAATAAAAGAAATTTTATAATTTCATTGACAGTTTATTCATATGAACATTATACTCAGTAAAGTATTTGCCTCGTTAAAAAGAGTATCGTTTTATTCTAGTGTTTTGTTAAATACCGTTGCAACAAACATGAAGTTGACGGTCACCTAAAAAAATACAAATCCAAGTTAATTCTACAAATAGACTTCAATTTGATGAAAAATACTCCAAACTGATTTGATTGTGGCTACTTCAAATACATATCAAATCAAAATAGTAAAAATATGTATCATACGATGGCAATTCAAAATTTTCCAAATAGAAAAAAAAGATCGAATAGCAGGCCATGACTTCAGATCTGAACATAACTTTTAATTTCAAGCAACTTTTCTCTTCAACATATTTCTATATTTTTTTGAAATAAGGGTACTTTACTTCTGAACGAAGTTTATATAGTGTTCATCATAAAGCCATTTCAGGTACACTTGGTATAGTTTTGGAACATGCACCAGCTTTTGACAAGAATTAAATTTTCTGAGAAATCGATGATAAAAAAGTTTTCCATTTGTTGCAACTTAGTGGACCTCACTGCACATCGCTGTCTATCATCCTATCATTAGAGTCAGACACCTACTTTCATTTATGTATTTTTTTAAAATAGAATCATTGTGTCACGAATATATTACGAATAATTCAATATAATTTACAATAAATTATTTTTATTTGATGAAATTTGCCGATACTTCATGAAAATCGATAACATTCACACGTTTGAACATGCCTGAGACAGGTATTGTACAATGAAACACGTATTGCGATTTTGTAAACTATTCACTGGAAGTCTCACAATGAAGTGTTATTTGAACAATTTCTAATTCAATTTGAATTTTAATAAATTTTTTACATATTACATACCAAATTTTTGTTTGAATTTTCACGAAATGCTTATTGGAAATTTTAAAAACCAATATTATCATTTATGCAACTCACCAATAGCAATAATTTCGAACCATGCAATATTTTCCATAAAGTTCTGTGAATTCAATTTAAAAATAAATTTCATCTATTTGTGCGTTCATACTATTTTCTTTTCCAATTCGTTTCCAACTTTTCAAAAATTATTACATTTGCAGATGATATTCAAATTTTATGAAAAATATTTTTTTATTCAATGTTTCATATAAACCTTACTCTCATGTCAGAAATTCTCTGCTCTTCTTCTCTTAAAGTTTTGTAGTGTTTTGCTTCATCATTCGCTCTTCTGAACTCTTCTCTCATTTTCATCTGAGTTTCTTTCTTCTTTTGCATTTTTTCTTCTTCGTCTTTTTGCAAAGCAATTAAAGCCTTATTCAACATTCTGCTTTCCTCCTCAATTTTTTCTGCTTCCAGTAATTGCCCAATCTCATTCTCTTTGATCTGTTGTTTAACTTCAACAACATACCTGAGAAAAATTAATGTCTTAACGTCGCAGGAATACATGATGAGTTATTTGAATGATTTGAAGATTAATCAATAACGAATAAGGTGTTGATTGAAGAAAATGTGTATTGCTAGTATGAGGTCTTTCAATAGAGACTTCCTAACTTTGAAAATCAATAACGGCCATCTTGTTGAAGCTAACATAATATGTCAAATTAGTTTGTGGGCTGTTCGGGCAACGTTTCGCGCGCTTCGCCATTTTACGTTGACCATAACGTCCTACCGTGAGGACTATTCGCAATGTGGTGATGAATTTGAGTCCTCTGGTTCAATGAACGATCGACCAACACCTGTACGTCGACAGATCTGCTGAAATTATCGCCGCTGTCGGTGAGAATGTGCAGGAGAAACCAAAGCAGACGATTTGGTATCGGATAGAGGATAGGGGCCCCGCTTGGGCCTCTATTCGTTCAAAATTCAACTGTCCCAGAGACTGAAGATAAACGACCATAGACAACGACTTGTGTTCGCCGAATAGGCACTGAAGCAGTTGGTAACTGATCCTAATTTACATCGAAAAATCATCTTGAGCAATGAGGACCATTTCTGGATGGATGGTATGGGTTTTGGGCTGGCGGCGTCATCAGTCTATATTTTTTGACAAAGACGTTGGTCAGGACATCACCGTCAACGGCGAGCACTATAGGTCGATGGTAACCAACTTCTTACGGTCTTAATTACATAATCGTGACACCAACGACATGTGGTTTCAACAGGACGGTCACACAGCCCATGCCACATTGGAAATTCTGCACGAGGCATAGTCGTATCACGTGAAGGTGATGTGAACTGGCCAACGAGATCATGCGATTGAACTCCGTTAGACTTTTCCTAGTGAGGTTTCCTCAAGTCGCAGGTGTATGTGAGTGAGCCACAAACGACAGCGGTTCCGAAGCCAACATAACACATGTCATGCCAGTAAGTGGGGAGAAGTACGAGTAGTATATATACCCAAACCCGGTAGGATGGACTACACCTTACCAAAAGCATTCCGACCAATTAGTCTCACAAAAAGTTAACATGTAACTCTCACCTACAGAGTAGAGCAAAGAGAGAATATGTGTCTCATGAGCAATAATAAGACCTGTGTTAACATATTGAGTCATTGCATGGGGATCGAAAGTTTTACAAGCAACGGTCATACAAAAATTATATCAAATACAGCGACTGGCTTGTTTGAACATCACAGGGGCCATGAGAACAACACCAACAGTGGCAATGAAATTAATTACTGGTCTGACCCCTCTGGACCTGTACATTAAGGAGGTTGTGTTGATGAGCTATATTAAGATTGCGCACGGCTGGTGTAAACCTCGAAAAAGGAATGGGTCAATTGAGGCCGAGTCTATGGCTGAAACCGCTCACTGCGCAACCTCTGCTGCAGGCAACCAGTGATGCAACTGAACCCAGGTTTGTATTTAATAAACCCTTCAAAATACAAATGAAACAGAACACAGAGTCGGATGCTACAAATGCAATGCGCATATATACAGACGGCTCAAAAACCAAAAAAGGCTCAGGATGTGGAGTGTACTCCAGATCACTAAGCTAAAGGATTGAGTGGGGAATGAGAAAAAATACCATAACAATCTGCACTGACAGCAGACAATCCCTATTAGCCTTGAACAGACAACGTGTTACCTCAGGGCTAGGACTAGAGTACCACCAAGATTTAGCCAAAGCCTCGGTAGATAATAACATTATCCTGAGGTGGGTTAAAGGGCACGACAGAAGTAAAGATAATCGCATTACTGACTTTTTAGCCAAGGAAGCGACTGGACTAAGAATTTTAGGACCCAGTAGCACCTACGGCTTGATGACTTCGACAATTGCGTAACTAGCCAAATGTTACACCCATGCTGAATCCCTAAAAGAAGGGATGTAATCAAATTATGCAATCTTGCCAGGATCACCCTGGGCGACCTTGGGAAGCTGGCGCCGAAGAAATATTGGGCGATGATCAGGAAAAATCTACGCTTAATAGTAGGATTTCTGTCTTGCCACTGTCAATTAAGGAAACACCTCCATAATATCGGGCTAGAGAATACACATTTATACAGGATGTGTAAACAGGAAGATAGGACTGTCAGGCATGTCTTATGCGAGTGTCCGGAGTTATCGTCAGTAAAAGAGTGTGTTTGGCGAGTCTTGGCCTACATCTGCCGATATAAAGGAGATGTCTCCCAGTTACCTGTCCACTTTCCTGGGAAGGACATGATGGAGGATGACCTAGGACAACTACTGTGGAGGAAGTACAATGGGTCACATGTGGCCTGAATGCTGTGGGCTTACACTCACCCTCCCTACTCTACAGAGAACCCATGCCATTGGTTAGCCTGATTTTTGCCCCATTGTCATAAAATCGAACGTTTCGAATGCGATTCACCCAGAAAAGCTGTGGCGGACTTTTAAACAATGTCATGTCCCTCAGATAATGGCATCAATAGGTTTTTTCAAACGAATACCAATTTCAATGATATATCACACACAAATTAATTCATTTAAATCTAAAGAAAGGAATCGCTTGATAAATGACCAATTATGATGTCAATCAATTATCTGCCAGTTGAAAAACAAAGCCCAATCAAAACGCATTCGTGGTCCAACAACAAATAGCGCTGTTTCAATCCGTTATAGGTCTTATCAGTGGTGTTAGGGTCAACCAAAAAAGCATTGCTGGATTCAACTCTTCTTGAAGGAGAAGCCTGAGTAAACAAGGAAGATGAGATCTCCTCCCACGAAGACGCAATCTATGCGATCGAAAGGGCTGTCAATTTTCGAATATCAAAGATGAACGAGACTCCCCACGGCAGTCAGTTGCAAAGTCAAGCTTTGACATCGACTCTAGTAAAGATTCGTTCTCTATATTTTCATGAAACTTTCACTGCGAAGTAACTAGATGGAAAACTATATTGATGGTTTTGCAACTAACCGCGTTGAGAGAAGCCTCGTTTATCTTTGATATCCAAAGATTGAGTCTTCTGTCGATCGCATAAATGAAGTCATCGCAAGGGGAAATGACATGCTTTTTTTAGAGTGCTTCATTTTAGTCACTTTCGGACATCCGAACGGTATCTTGTGAAACACCCAAACTAATTTATGACACAGAGTGATATCGGTCAGCCAATCAGGATGAGAGGAATAAATATCGGCTAAATATTCCACAAGGTTGTGTTTGGAGGTCCAGAAAAGACTTACATGAAGCACCATAAGAAAAAGCATGGGATTGCGATCCAGAAACGACATTGTACTTTTAATAACATTGCTTTCACTTTCAGGCTTGATCATATTTGATCAATTCAATGGTTCAGCCGCCTAGCACGACTGATATAGATCTGGGGGTTCGAAACAGCAGTGTCTGGATTTGAAGCACAAGTTCACCTTTTAGACTGACTTGAATGATTTCTATGATGATAAAAATATTGAATAAAATCATGAATTCGAAATATATTTTTGAAATCATTCAAAAAAACAATATGTAGTTTAGACTGGTGGGATGATTTTGATTTATCTTTCGAAAGTCATGTTCATGATATTTTCTCAATGAACAAATTGACTGAAAAAGTTAACAAACGACATTTTTTCCAAAATATCAAGATGAAATTGATTCCAATTAAGTAGAATGGTAATTATAATGTTTCAAAACCTTTGTTTCTTTTTATCATCTGATTCCCTTTTCTGTGCTTCGATTTGTATAAGTTTCTGCCTCTGTTGCTCCATCATCATATCTAATCGTTTATTCTCTTCTTGCAATTGTTTCTCTATCAACTGGAAAAATATTCTTCAAGTTGCGAATTTGATTCAAATAATTTTTCGAAACTTGCCTTTTTTTCGGCTATTTGAGCATTTCTTATCGCTCTACATTTTGCTGCTAAAATAACGCCATTTGCCACTTTAACTCTGTCATCCTGTTCTATCATCAGTTCCTTAGATATTTGGGTATTTCAGTCAATTTATTGATATATACAATTAGTGGACACAACACTCCAAAAGTGGGGCAAACCGCGGACACGTGTTTCTGGCTATTGGCCTAATCAGCGCGGTGCAGCCAAGTGTAAAGATGGGCAACACTTGTTTGCCGAAAGCAAGAAACAACACATATGCACGGAGTCAAGAACAAGAGCCAACCGCACATTTGTGGTTCCAGTTAGAAGACCTAGAATTCCCAGGCTACATCTAACATGACCACATAGGCAGCTATAGCTGATTTTTATATAATACCCACACGATAAAATCTCTCTTTGTATTTATATCCTGTACCCGGATGTCACGCAGGTAGCTGATTTTTATATCATACCCACTCGATAAAATCTCTCTTTATTTATATCCTTGAACCGGATGTCACGCAGGTAGCTATAGCTGCCTACGTGGTCATGTTAGATGTAGCCTGGGAATTCTAGGTCTTCTAACTGGAACCACAAATGTGCGGTTGGCTCCTGTTGTTGACTCCGTGCATATGTGTTGTTTCCTGCTTTCGGCAAACAAGTGTTGCCCATCTTTACACTTGGCCAGAAACCCGTGTCCGCGGTTTGCCCCACTTTTGGAGTGTTGTGTCCACTATTTTTTTTGATTTTTATATCATACCCACTCGATAAAATAGAAATGCAGTGAAAGCAATAATCATCATAACAGTGTATCCTTTTCTAAGAATTCTTCTTTTCTGAGAGAAAAGCAGTTGGCCCAAACGGACCCCTGTGGTACCCCTAGTATAATATCTTGAATATCAGATACTGCATTATTCACAGTAATTACCATTTTCCTATCTTATACCGAACATTCACACGGAATAGAAGATAGTTATTAGTGTGGAGAGTGAAGTTATTAGTGTGTGAAGTTATTATTATTATTCCCATATATTCACTATATGTGTTTGAGAAAAATGGTTTTTTGTGAGTTTGTGGTGTCGTGAATCGTGTCATTGGGTTTTTTTCATTCGAATCTGAGTTATACAAAGTTGAATCCATAACGAGCACTTTTCCCAACTTTACGTTTCACTTTTTATTTGTAATTTTTTTTCTGCTACAGAATGGTACAAGTATTCAATTATCATAAGTGATATTTCAGAAGACATCAAAACATGTAGGATGTAATTTGCATACATGTGAGATATTCATATCTCAAAATTAAAGTCTTGGAGACTTTTAATCTCAGAAATGTCTTAGAACTTGCTCTGTAAAATAATTGACACTTGTATAACCTAAATTATAATCGATATTTATTGTATACTTCACATTATTCTTGGACTTACATGAGCTTGCTTTTTCAATCGTTGAAATTCCGACGTTCCAAGTATCGCTGGTCTATCGATTGGGTATCGATTTGGGACTATGAGATCTCGAGATCCTTCAGCATCGATAGTTTTTATCATCTCCTTTCCCTCTGTGGCTTTTTTAGGTATGTAATGGATCAGTGTTCCATTGAGACTGTGATTACATTGCTGGGGACTGAATTGCAATACACATTTATAAGATTATTCACATAATTACAAGCTGCTTACTTGTGTTGACCTGTTATTTTAGCCTGCTTGGCACGGCTGTGGAATTTTCCTGTCAGTGGCATTATTATTTGTCTAAAATAGTTTCAGTGGCCAGAACACTTGGTTTAAAAATATGTCACAAGTATTGACAAAACTTCAAAAGTGTTTCCATAGCAATTGCCACCCTTTCAAGTCGAATTGAAGCGTCTAAAGTGTCTCCATAGATGTCGCTGGTATTTCACAGAACTACATCTATCACTGAAATAATGTACATTTGGACAATTAGAAACATATTGAATTCATCTAAAAGTAATCAAGAAAAATTTGCTTGTTGTCACATTTTGAAAAAGTGTATCTAGTGCGCGACAGACTTGGTTTTGCGAAAACGGATATATTCAAATAAAAGAAGAGATAGAGGGTATTCATTTGATACCTTCATTATAAACAGGAATTGAATGTTCTTGCCAGGAAACTATCAGGAGCCCAAAGCGCATTGAAATCGACGTTCTGATCTATGATTGTCCGAGGAGACATCTGATGGTTAATGCCTGAAACATGAGATGAATGATTTTTAAAAGTACATATTTTTTATCTTTCAAAGTAAAAAAGGGCTCTACCGAATGAGTGTAATCGTGAACCGCAACTTTCGTGTTACATTATTGATTAAAGTGAAGTATTTTTTTGTTGATGAGTGATGCTCAAAAGCTCAGTTTCTCTATTCTTTCATAGATGGCAGATACAGTAGTTTTGATATTACTTCCGTAATTATTTCGTCAGTGTTATCAAACAAACCAACTTAAATTATTAGTGAAAAAAGTAAGTGTAAAAAACAGGATATTCAAGATATATTTGTATTTAGCTTCAGAATGTATGGCTGATTGCCAATTGCAAACCAGTGTATTACTCAAAAAGATTAATGTGCCAAAGCAATTTTTCGTATTTTTGGTCGTGTTCTGCAGGTTTTTATGACTGAAGTTTTGTCTACCACTGCGGCGGACATTATCGAAGGCGATGTGGTAACAATCGAAGTGTTCGAGTTGTTCTCAACGCAGAAAGTGTAATGTTGTGATTTGTCTAGGGTTCTTTGGCGACCGTGACTTGTTTTCTCTCAATTGGCCTAAATAACTTTATTTATGTACAATTGGGGATTGGTAGCCAGATTTTATTATTGTTCATTGCCTATTCCTCTCTACTCAAATCATCCCAGGGTTTCTTTGGAATCTCCCAAAGTAATAGAAGGCAGAATACTATAGAGATTTTATCTGTTACTTTAGATAGATTATGATCATTCTTGTGCAGAAGAACTATCTTCAAATTTTTCAACATTGAGTCAACTTTGAATTCAAAAATCACGTCCCAAATTTTCCGATGATGATAATAATATAATATTGAATGTTTCAACTATTTAATTCGTCTGTCGCTACAATTTTTTTTATGAATTATTCACAAATTGTAAATAGTGATCTTTAAAAATATTTCGCGTGTAGTAATTGAACTAAAGCGCTGCCGAAACAGTCCAAAAAATGATAAGACATTTGGCAAAGATAGTGTTAACAAACGCACCGTTGGTCACCAACGTGACGTTGGTTTGTAGAGTGTCGTTCCGGAGATTCCACCCTCAAAGATGAGCCCCAAAGTGGTCGACCTACAGTGATTCAGGACGAGGATTTGAGGACCTTGGCGGAGACTGATCCATCACAAATGGTGCGTGGGATGGCGTAAAAACGAGGTGTCAGCTCCCATGCGGTTTTTGATGATATAAAACGTACTGGAAGGGGTCAAAAAGCTCAAAAAGTGGGTGCCCCACGATTTGTGTGATCGACAGAATTTGTCACGTTTCGAGGTATGTTCTTCTTTGCTTTTGCGCAAAGTAGAACAGGAACACCGAATACGAATAGTCACGTGTGTTGAAAAGTAGATCTTCTACGACAACAGCAGACGTTCGGGACAGTTGTTGAACACCGATGAGTCACCCAGGTACTTCCAAAAGACCATGATTACTTTATGGTGGTAAGCGGTTGTAGAGATTCACCATAACGTTCTGAAACCTGGCCAAATCATCACAGCAGAGTCCTATTGCGAAATGTATCAAAAATTGCATTAGCAGCAGTCGGAACTGATCAACAGAAGAGTGACAAACCTGCTCCATGACAACGTCCGTCCGCTCGTTCCACAAATCATCGTACGAAAATTAAACGAATTGAGCGTCGAAGTTCTGCTTCACCCACTGTACTTTCCATACCTCTCGCCAATCGACCACTATACTTTCAAGCACTAAGATAATTTTCTCACCGGTATAATGCTGAGCATCACCAAATTGTTATGCTGACGGAAGTGATAGTCTTTTGTTGGCAAAAGTTTACTGATTCAAATGGCCCTTATTTGGATTGAATTGAGTAAATCTATAGAAATCAACTTTAAATGTTCAAGCCCGTCTCTGTAATACCTACACAGTAGGTGGACTGACGCCTATCAGAAACCAACTACTCCCCTGGCTAATACCACGAAGGGCGTTGAATTATATCTGACAGGCGTCAGTGCAGGAATCTTCATAGAAAATTTCTTGCATATGCAATTGGCAATACAACTGAGAGTTGACCTTCAATTGTGGAACGGGCACACTTGCAGACCGGTTTCGGGCTCCTTAGCCACTCGTCAGTACAAGATAGTGATCATCATCGACCTAAAGTCAATGATATTCCATAATTGATAATCGGAATTCTTTCAGAGTATTTCATTCCTCGACAACTGCATATCCGAAATTTGCCCGATTCCTCTGAATAACGAAGAAAAATTTTCTCATTAGTCAGTGGGCTATGCTTGAGAACGTAAACAAATTTAAAGAAATGAATTCTAAATGTTCAAACCCGTCTCGAATATACCTACACAGTAGGTAGAATGGACTGACGCCTATCAGAAAACATAAACTCCACTGGCTAATACCACGAACGGCGTTGAATTATATCCGAGAGGCGTCAGTGCAGGAATCTTCACAGAAAATTTTCTGCATATGCAATTGGCAATACACTTGCAGACCGGTTTCGGGCTCCTTAGCCACTCGTCAGTGCAAGATAGTGACCATCATCTACCTAAACTCAATGATATTCCATAATTGAAAATCAACACTTTTTCAGAGTATTTGAAATCTCGAAACCGCAAGTGTGCCCGTTCCAAAATTGATGGTCGACTCTTTCAGTTGTACTGCCAATTGCATATGCAGAAATTTTTTTGTGAAGAATCCTGCACTGTGTAGTTATATCCGAGACGGGCTTGAACATTTTAAGTTCATTTCTTTAGATTTGTTTACTGCCTTCAAGCATATCCCACTGACTAATAAGTAAATTGAGTAAGTATATACTGAGATATTACAGTTTGAAGTAGACTCATGACAATTATAAAATACCCTCTATATTGATAAATCGATAAATCAGATTAACTGTCTATACTTTTGGATCCTACATGAATGTAAAAGTGGTGTTAGGCATTGAATACTGTGTTGGTAATGATGTGACCGTAGAATAAATTCGATTGCCACCAACAACGATTCATTTTTGAAAAAAGTTGTCCAATCCAGTCAAGATATCTCCACTCACCCCAATTAAGTGATCAAAATTTATGCCTCATTGAATATTACGAATCGATTAGATCAGTCGCTTTGGATAGTCATAATCTCTTGAAAAAAACTGTCAACTATGAAAACTAGTGCGAATCAATGATTGATGAAATCTTACTGTTCAATGTGCGATTCTCAGTAGACAGTGGAAATCGCAGTGGAAATCGATCGTTCGTACGTCGAGTTCCAATGGTATCGGGAATCAAAAAAAATATCAATCCAATTTTAAAATCGGAAGTTGAAAAAGTTTTATCAAACAAAGAAGTTCAATTCGACTAATCATAAAACTCGAATTATGTAATGTTTTCATTCAACTTAAATTATAATAATATTTTAACTGGTTTAGAGGATCAATATTTTTTTTAAAACAAATTGTTTTCTTTCCAAAGTTTCGAATGTGAATAAATTTTTCTTCAGGGATCGAACAGGAGTTTCTTCGTGTTGAAAATATAACTATTTTAAAAACATCAGGCATATCAGATATACAATAATAAAAACAGAAAGCACTAAATAAAATTTTCGAGAAAACACTGCAGAAAGACAAATATTTTGTTTGTTTCATGTGTTTGTGTAGTTTTGTTGTCTCGGAAATTTGATTATTTTAGTGTTTTTTTATTTCATTATTTATTTAGTATGTCTGATGTATCTGAAAAATTTATATTTTCAACACGAAGAAACTCCTTTTCAAGCCCTGGAGAAGAATTTAATAGAATTCGAAACGTTGGCAATAAAACATTTTTTTTGAAACTTTAAAAATATAATAATATGGTTGTTTACTAGCATGCAACCGATGTGAAATTTTTAGACTACATATTAGATGATCAATTGGTCTGTTAATTTTGCATCGATTGAAAACTGTTGTACAGTAAAGTAGCTTCAAAAATCCCTTATTTTTCTTACACTGCATAATTACATATATAGTTTATTATTTCAGATATTTATTCGTTTTAAAATTTCAATCTGGTATCATTCAGCACATTCAAAGAGTATTTTAACATGCCGGAATGAAACCTGTAAGATTCCTTGCCAACACGAGGTTTCTGCAATAGTGTTTTAGGCCGTTTGGTATTATAGTTCTTCCTACTTCCAATATACAGGGTGTTCCTTTATGATATGCGAATATTCAATGGTACAAATCCACAGTGAAAATAATGATAGGGTATATACAGGGTTTTCCAACAGGTACTTGACAACTTTGAATTTGATTTGTGAACGCACTATTTCACTGATCATCTAACTGTTACTTTCCTTTGTTTCAGTAAAGTCAACATTTTCATCATGGTAAAGTACACAAACGAATAACGTATGCAAATTATAAAAATGTACTACCGAAATTCGGAGTCGGTGACCACAACTTTAAGAGCGTTGACTCCAATTTTCGGTCGTTATGCTCGCCCTAGTAGACAAGCAATAACAAGTTTAGTGTAAAAATTTGAGTCTACATATTCATTGTGTGATGCTGCCGTGCTAGTGAGACAACGGGTTGGTCGAAGTGACCAAAATATCGCTGCCGTTCAGGCGTCCGTAGTAAACGATCCAAATCAGTCGATTCCG